GGCACGTACTGAATGGAGCACTGGGTGTTATACGCAAAGGATGAATCATGGAACACTACATCAAAAACTAATGATGTAACGTATGGTGATTAACAAAACATAATAAAGGTGATTTGGTTTGCTTTCTAAAAAAAGGAAAAAAAAGAAAATGGAAAATAAGACCATCCATCAGAAATTGAGTTCAAGGGAAGATCTATGTCTCAGTCTTAACACTGGAAGGACACAAAGAAAATCTCTCCCAAGAATCTGACCCATAGTCCTTGCTTTGGTTAGAGTTTCAATTCATGCAGTCAGTGTGGTCAAAGACCTTAAATAGAGAATGTAGGTAGTTTCCCCAGGTGACTAACAAGAGCAAATGCAAATTGTCTTATAATAATGCCATTGATTAGAAGAGGAGAACCAATTTCAGAAGTGTTAAGATGTGGAAAAACAATGAAAACATGTGTCTTAGAAACAATGAAATACAGTAATTAGAATTTCCTGGTATATAAAAATTAATTAAATATTGCTTACATAGGAATAATTTGCTTTATGTCATACTTTATCAATGATGCTAACATAATTTACTCTAGCAAGCACAATGCAAGGGGAAATAGAAGCAAAAATATATATTATGATGGGCACACAAAGTTATGCAACATTCAGAATGTCTACCCTAAGACCACAATCAAGGTGTAAAAATTAATATGCTTATCTCAAAATCAAGATATCTGACAAGCATATTTTTAGTGCACACCACTTCTTTTCCTAGTTTCTTTCCTCTGAATGTGTCTACATACTTGGAATACATTTTTATGGGTCACCGATAAATTTACCCTTGATTTTCACAGTTCAACAGGAAAATGTAGAACTCTTAAAACGCAACTTTTGAAAATAGAGATTAGAAATATATGTTTAAAACCTATATTTAAACTACAAGATGCTCTGTGTGCTAAACTTGACTCCACAATGCTTCTGTGGCAATAGTACACATGGTCTTTATCATGATCTCAATCTAAAGCCCTAGATTTGTATGTGGCAGCTCTAAGTCTACATTTCTCTTATGTTTATTGGTTTGGTTCCTAAGAAATGTAGATTCAAGGGCAGTGTCTTGCTCAAGCTGACATCCTTTTTGTGGGTGTGATAATGCAGGTTCTTATGGGGACAGGAACTGAGGTTTTGGTCTTCACTGCCAAGTCATCTAATTGACCATCAAGGTTCTTGGTGATGGTCTATGATCCAGAAATCTCTCTCACCAGCGAGCATTTGACCCAGTAGAATTTTAAGGTCAAATGAGTCTTTCTAGACTACAGATGTTTGGAATCGGATGGATGTCATAATGAGTGTTCTCAGAAATCAGCTGTCTTCTGGGGGCAATGGGGCTAACTGCTGATCACTAACCCTTACCTAAAAACACAAGGGTCATTCCTTTCCTCTCCTTTTTTTGAACATAACACAAATAGCCTTTCTAAATTGATGTTTTCAAACTTTCCTTTTCATTAGTTTCAAGTGTTCAGTGGCGATTCTCTTTTTCATGTCTTAAGAAAATGAGTTATAGATTATACAATATTTGAACATAACTATACAATTTAAGAGGGGTTTTGAGACCTGCATGGAAATACTCAAAACAGACAAGTGTTAGAAACTAAAAAATGGCTAAAGGTTTTGCTGAGGAAAACCCCACCCTCTTTTCCTTCCTTACAACTGTTAATGATGCATCAAGTGGGATGCCTCTTAAATGAGAAATGGAGAAGTAGGTGCTTTGAATAGAAATAGGAAATAAAGCTCTTCTGTTGAAATTAAGGCCTTGGTACAAAATAACGTTTATTCAAGTCATTCAAGCAACTCCATTCCATTTCACAAAGAATAAAAAGACCCCTTAGAAGCCCAGACACCTTTTCCTTGTCTTCTTACAACAAAAATAACCAAAAGGAATTAATTCCCAAGTGTCATTGGATGCATATGCTTGCTTTTCTACCCTCTTGTGTTAAGAGGGTAAATGGATAATAAACTGCTCAGTGCTTTTCTTTTTGTTGTGAAAAACGAAACCCTGTGTATGTGAACTTTTCTCCCTTTTCCTTGACCAACAGAAAATGCCATTTTTATATTATTATATACATATATAAAATACATATCAACACATTTATGAACAAATAGGAAAATGCATAAATACACATATATGCACAAGTAGAATATCTCAATGGGAGAATAAAATAAATCTAAATTTGTGTTTTTTCCCAAACACATTCAACTCTCACTATTGATTTCATTGAAAATATTTCTTGGCTACTATACAATTATGGATCAATTGTTTGTGGATAATTCTTTCAGTGAGTATATATTGGGTTAAGGCTTGGTTAAAGACAGAAGACTTATTGTAGTACAGAACTGAGGTCAATTTTGAAGTCCTACACTCCTCCTCAAGTAATTTTATCCTGTGCACATTAATATAGGCCTACTGAAGCCATGTGATTTTCTACAGGACCCGATTTCATCAGGGTCCCAAATGTCTGTCTTGCCACCATTCTGAGGGATATCCGCTGCTATATTTCTGAGCAAAAGTCAGTCAGGACTCACCTCTCCTTCCCTGGGCCAAGGCCTTCCATTCTGGGTGTATTTGCTTTGATTCTGTCGCTTCTTTTGTCCTCCATCAGCGAATTTGCACAGTAAAGGCTCACTAGGGGCTGGGAAGATAAGAAACCAATTCTACATTAGCAAATCCCCCTAAAAACAAGTGATTATTTGAGTCACAGTAGTGCTTTGTAATGCCTATCTTTTGAAGTTGCCTTGCTTCTGGAGAGATATTTGGCCCCCTTTTAGTCTCAATTATGTTGGCTGCTATTCTAACGGGGCTTCAAAAAAGTACTGGCAGAGCACAAAAGAGAACAAAAAATATTGTTGAAAAAATAATCAGGAAGCAGAATGTGAACTTGCCTTAAAAGTAAAGAGGGGAATGTTGACTCCTTCCAGTTATATTAATGCTAAAAACCAGACAACGGGTCCAAAATGGAGTCACTTATGCTAAGCTCCATGTCACCAAACCAAGACCTAACTTAATTACGTTTTGGCTCTCCCAGAAATGGAATTTTAAAACAGTCAATCAGGGGACGCCTGGGTGGCTCAGTCGGTTAAGCGTCTGCCTTCGGCTCAGGTCATGATCTCAGGGTCCTGGGATCGAGTCCCGCATCGGGCTCCCTGCTCTGCGGGGAGCCTGCTTCTCCCTCTGCCTCTGCCTCTCTCTCTCTCTGTCTCTCATGAATAAATAAATAAAATCTTAAAAAAAAAATATTACAAAAAAAACCCCAAAAAAAACAGTCAATCAGGAGTCACCTGATCAGCACTAGTGAGGTAATTTACGTGATAGACCCCTGCCGTCCCCTAAAGAAAAGTGACCTTGCCACAACCAATCCACTTTTTGCCACTACAACTTTCTTGTTCCTGCTCCTTCTGCTATAGAAGGCTCCCATTTGCACAGGTCCTCAGAGCTCCTCTCTACCTGCTTGAGGAGAGGCTGTCTGATTCACAAATCCTTGAATCAAGTCAATAATATCTTTAAAAAGTACTCAGTTGAATTTTGCTTTTTCACATTAGAAATATATTCATAACCAGTATTTGTGTGTAGATAAATATTTCCCCCTCAAATTAACTATGTTTTCACAGTAGAAACTGTAGGATTCTATTTTGGAAAGAGATCCTTAGGAGCTGCCTTCTAAAAAGGGAACCATTTTGCTAATTACAACCAAATCAGTTTTTTTTTTTTCTCATTAACCTCTGCAATTTCAAAACGGCTAGAAGCTGATTGTCCATCAAACCCCTTTCACTCCAATTTCCCAGTGAAATCTAGTCAGTATCCCAGGGAGAACAATTATTTGAATATCAAATGAGTCCTCATGATAAAATATAGTCAAAGGAAATGGCTCTTAACAAATGAATCCTGGACTGGGGGAAATGTAGTGGTCCTGGGTGACTTGAGTTGACTTATTTGATAATCTTTTAAAACACAACAGGAAGAAACTTATTCTTTGAGAATCAATGCCCCCTCCAAATCCCTATTTGACTAGAAAAATTGCTGCTTGTTATTATGACAAATATGTTTAAAAATGAATAAAAAGAAAGCCATATTGGTCTAAAAAACTTGATCAATGAATTAACATAGCTGGAAGGATTTTTTTGCTAGTTTATTTGCTTGGATAAAACAAATACTAGTTTGCAAATTTATAATCTGAAAACTAAAATGGACCCCTTCCTCCCCCACTCCCTGGGAAAATATGTTCTTCTAAAGATTAATTGTATTAATGGTTGAAGGGGAGCAGAATATACCCCTGAAGAATATGCTTCTTTGGCATAAGGATTAATTTAGGCTGATTATTTTTAAGAAACAATAGATAGAGGAAAAGCTCTGAAAACTGACTGGAAGTTACCCTTTTGTAAGAGACATTTATATTTATAAGGGAAATCTCTATTTGTAACAGTATCTCCCTCTTTGTATGTGGAAGAAAAGAATACTCTAAATCTCAAGAAACTCTTATCAGTGGAGAAGCAAGGACTTAAATCTATGCAACAACCTTACTCTTGTTTACTGTGCTTTTCCTGGTAATCTCCCACAACAGGCCTCCCTGCCCCCTCCCCAGCATCTTCTTTTGTCTTTAGCTGAAGATGGTATTCAAGATGGTGACTTCAGCCATTTCAGGGAGTTACTAGATTTTCCTGGATATCTCCATACAAGAGGTATATATGTTATTAAACTTCTTTTTGTTTTTTTTCTCCTGTTAATATGTCTTTATGGGGGGAGGGGAGTCCCAGCCAAGAACCTAGAAAGATAGAAGGAAAATTATTTTTCCTCCCCTGCATGATCTTAATTCTTTTTTTTTTTTTAAGATTTTATTTATTTATTTGACAGAGAGAGACACAGCGAGAGAGGGAACACAAGCAGTGGAGTGAGAGAGAGAGAAGCAGGCTTCCTGCTGAGCAGGGAGCCCAATGCGGGGCTCAATCCCAGGACCCTGGGATCATGACCTGAGCTGAAGGCAGACGCTTGATGACTGAGCCACCCAGGCACCCCATGATCTTAATTCTTTATCCCTCCTTGTATCCTTGCCTTTTGCCATGTAGTATTGTTGAGCCCTCTGAATCTTGGTCTGATCCCATGTGAATTGCTCTAGCCAATGAACTGTTAGCAAATGAGATGCAAGCAGAAGACTAAAATATTTTTAAGCATTGAGTTTTGCTTCTTTTGCTTCTCTGCATAACCACATGAATATGCTCAACCTGGCCTGCTGAAGGATGAGATACAAGTGTAGGTGAGTCATCCCTACCATCAGAGCCAAGGCCATCACCTGGACATGTGAGTGAGCTCAACTAAAATCAGCAGAGATACACAGATAACATGCAGTTGACCACAGACCAGGTGAGGTCAGTAAAGATGATCCCACAAATATGTAAGCTATATAAATCTTTATTGTTTCATATTACTAAATTTTGCAATTGACATGCAACATTATAATCTTAATAGATAACTGATATTGTTTTCCCCAACACCCATTCCTCTCCATTTCCACTCCAGCTAGCTTGCTTGCATTTACTAATCTGGATAAAGAAAAAAAAAAGATTATGGAATTTATGAGACTTCCAATTGTCTCCAAAATCAATAGGGAAAAAAGAAATGAGTGGGTATCCACAAATATTTGAAAATCATTTGGCTTTAAGTGGCAGCAGTATTTACTCAATCCTTTTAGTTTACTCTATTAGCAGCAGAATTCTAATAACCAATATTGAAGGAAATACTGACTCAAACAGACAGAAGGTCAGAATTGGTTGGGTGAAATTAAAAATAAATTTTCTTGCCTGCCTATAGAGGAGGCATGGGGGGGTGGAATATGTAACTCATCCTGGCACATAACTCAACCAATGTCATTCCTCATGGAGCACAAGTGCTTCCCAACTGTCTGCTTTTGGGAGCCTCCAACTTCAGTGACTTTGGTGAAGCCACAGAAATCACACAAAGGAAAGGCTGAATCATGAAGTGTCTGCAGACAGTTGCTGCCATGACACTGAAGTAGTCTAAATTCTTTCTCCACATGAAGAACTGAAAGGATAAAAGCAATCAAGGATCCTAGAACTCTATGCTAAAGAAAATTTCCTGTGAGACTCCAAAAGCATATATAAATATGTGCCTATAATGTGCCTATATATCATTATACATGTATAATCATTCCTCACTATAGGATATTTTCTCTCTTGATATTTTAAAAATTCAAGGTATATTTACTCATTCAAATGGGATGGTCATGCTGACATGTGAGTTTATAACTGGCAATAGTACAAATTTCTCACAAAAGGCAAATAAATCTAGAAATACCTTAAATTTCCTGCTGAAAAAAAATGCAGATTCTGCCTTTTATTCTTCTTGGGATAATAACTTCCATGAGTCATACTTTCTACTGTCTGAGGCAGGATTCTCTTTATTGTCTCCTAAGATGGATTCTTTTTGAGTATATAATATACTGATTCTAATAGTCTAGAATATGATAATGACTTCTCTTGAGGTCATTCATGTTTCTGTAGGCTTTGTCACTTAGTTTGGGTGCATTTCAGTGTTTAGCAGTCTGGTTTAGCAGTCTGCTTCCTGGCTCCCTGACTTACTAACTACAAGACACCAGACACCTTAAAAATTTTTTTTAATATTTCTGTGACTCATTTTCCTCACGTATGAGATGAGGGTAATAACGTTACCTACCTCAGGCAGCTGTTGTGAAGATTAAATAAATTCATGTGTGAAAAGTGTTTAAAACAGCGTACGGTACATAAACGATTATTAAATTCACATTAGCTACAACTATCACTATTGCTTAGTATCTTTATTAGCCACTGCCCATGTATCAGCTATGAAACAAAGTTACTTAGCAGAGTCAGAGTTCAGAGTGTTTAATCAACGAGGCTTATTGTTCCTCAGCTCTGTCCCACTCTAACTCCATGGTTGGTTTGGCCACAGAACTTGCAACTGACTGCCCTCCAAGAACAGTGAAAAGATTTGAGAGGATCCATGTTTCCAAGATGGCTCTTGCTAACTGCAGCTTGTCAATGGACCATCCGTCCAGCTTCCCCTCCTGAGTCCTCACCAAAGTTCGACTTCCAATATCCCCTGAGTACGATACAAGTCATGTTTTCTTATGTATGTTAACATTCCATTGCCTACACTGAATGCTCCCTGTTCCTTTTTCTACTGTGGTTTTAAAAAAAAATTATTCTTACTACTATTTTTTGTTACTCAATTGCTAGAGATCTATTGGCTGTTTAAATCCATCAAATCTGTATTTTACTACTAGGATAAGTACTGTGCTGTCTACACACTATGGGCAAGCAAAAATTGCCACCCCAAAATGTGTCTCTTTGGCATGTATATACCCACACACATATATATTTAAAGACCTTCTTGGTGAACCCTTGGAAACTATGGAATTAGGGGAACAGCACTGGCAGGAAAAGAAAAGCCTCTGAACAAATTATTAACCTTAGGATTTCTCCTATCTACTGGCATAGAGAAATTTTATAGAAGCCTCTTTAAAACAAATATTACCAAATAACAATATTTTAGCTTGCCAAGGATCAATTATACATAGACGATGAGAGCCTGGGTTGTAAACCTACCTTGAAATTTTTCATTATTGAAAAGAGAACTTTCAAA